TGGTCAACTGCCTGTGGCCCGTGTTACACCCTGTGTCTCACCAGCCGCAAGACCCGTCCTCCCAGCCCCGTGCCCCAGCTGTCCCAGCATCGGCCCAGCTCCTCGCAGCCGCCCACAGCAGACCCCTCTGGGCCCTTCAAGGAAAGCCAAGGGAAGGCAGGAAAGATGGAGAGACCCGAAGGACGTGGGCACGAGGGACAGGGAGGGCGTGAGGATGGTGCCCAGGTTTTGAGCCTGGGGATGGGGTAGGTCTGGTGCCATCCTCCATGATAAGGGCACCAGAGGAGCAAAGTTCTGAGGGCAGATGAGCATTTAGGTTGGTTCCGTTGAACTTTTGTTTTAAGATAAAATTCACATGCCATGACATTCACCATTTTAAAATATGCAATTTGGTGGCTTTCAGGATAATCACAAATTCGTGCAAACATCACCACTAATTCCAGATTTTTCACTACTCAAAAAAACCCCACCCCACCTTGTGCATCTTAGCAATCACGCTCCAGTCCCCCTCCCACGCTCTACTTTGCCCATTCTGGGCATTTCATATAAATAATCAGACAGTATGTGTCTTTTGTGTCTGGCCTTCCCCGCCCAGCATACTGTTTGTGAGATTCACCCAGGCTATAGCAAGTGTCCGTACTTTCTTCCTCTTTATGGTTGAACAGTATTCCACGGTGTGGATTCACCACGTTTGGTTTATCCGCTCGTTGGCTGATGGACATTCAGGTTGTTTCTCACGAATTATGCCACTGCCAACATTCACGTCCAAGTTTTGCGTGGACATCTGCTTTCAGGTCTCTTGGGCAGACACCTGTGAATGGAATCGCAGGGTCAAATGGAAATTCCATGTTTAACTTTTTGAGGAACTGCCAGACTTTTCCCAAAGGGTCGACTTAAATTTGAGGTACCTGCAGGGTGTGTGCTGTGGGGGCCTGGGCAGGGGAAGGACTGTGTGTCACCAAGCAGTGGGAGATGTAGGCGTTTATAGAAGTTCCTTGAGTGCTGACCTTTGGGTTGTTTTGTTCACTTCTGTATATTTAGTGCTTAGAACAGTGCTTGGTACATAACAGGGGTTCCATAAATAAATATTTGTTGGATGACTAAATGAATGTGTGGCATTGAATTTCGGGAGAGAGTAAAGAAGTGGAGATAGAAATCCAGGGGCGTAATGGGTTCTGCCTGGGCAGGGGATGGAAGCCAGGACGATGGGGGTAGATGGACATCTAAAGAATTAGTGAAAGAAGAGTAGAGCCGGTGAAAACAGGAGGCTTATTTATTATGTGCCTATGCGGGAACTCATGGGAGCATCCCCCAAACAATCACCTAGACTCTTTTCCTTCTTGGGGCCCAGCCCACCGCTCGGGCATGGTAGGGCCTTGCTTATAGTTGTTGAATGAACAGTCTTTGTGGTAGGTGTCATCACCTCCGTTTTACTGAGAAAGCCAGGGCTCAGAGAGGTTTAGTCTCTAGCTGGAAGCCACACAGCTGGTGAGTGGCAGTGCTGATGCCTGGACCTCAGCCTCTGTGCCCCTAGAGGCCCCACTCTGGGCGGTTCCAGCACGAGGCCTCTGCCACAAGGGGTTGCTGGAGAAGAGAGGCTCATGATAGGGTTTTGCTGAGAACGCGGTGGAGAGAATAGGAAAGAGAATTTCTGGAAGGGGAGGGAATTCTAAAAATGTCTGTGTTTTGGGGTGTCAGGTTTCATGGTGGCATCCCAGAGTGGTGACAGCAGGGAGAGGTCAGGCTTTGGAGGAGTGGGCTTGGCACCATGGTCATTCGATTGTCATCAGAACTGAGGTCATTGGTACCAGATTTGATTTTCCCCCTTGACCCCCAGGACTGACAGTCCCCAGGGCAGAAAACCAAGACTAGTTGCATCAGCCCCGATGTGCAGCCTCCATGTGCCTCTGCTCCCTACCCCCAACCCTGCACTTCTGGCTCCTGGCAGATTCCCTGATGCTCAGTGGAGGGGGCAGAGTCCTGGGCTGGGGGCCCTGAGCCTGCAGTCTACCTCTGACTCGGGAGACATGTTCCCCAGGCCTCAGTTTTCTCATCTATATTGTGAGGAGTTGGTACTGGGCAAAGAGAGAAATGCTGCTGGACATTGGGGCTCAGGGGTGCCGAGAGAGGCCAGAGACCTCTCCTGCAGGGGATTCAGAATATGAAGCAGCTCCCACATCAGTCCCCAGCAGCCCCTTTGAGCTCGGGCATGAAGCTAGAGGTGGTCCTGGAGGAAGGAATCTAAGGAGGGTGGGGCATAGTTGATGCCCACTCCCCCTGATCGGGCTGGAGGCAGTGAGGCAGGTTCAGGACACTGAGAATGAGGGGACTTTGTCATGCCTCACCTATTACTGTCTGGGACCTGCAGGGGGCAGCAGTGACCATGCTTAGGCTTGGGGGTGGGGGT